AAATACAACTTGAGAACAAGCTCAAATATTGCATGATTTCTCTTATGTGAGAAACACTATATGTGTGTGTGTGTAAAATATATACAGATAAACAGCAAATTAGAAGACAGATAAATAGAAAGTAGGGAGAAGTTCAAATACTTCCCCAAGTTGCATATTCTGCTATTGTAAAAATATTTCAAAATATATGCTAATTTGTTTCATTTATACCACTAGTTTATCTTTAATCTATGTAGCCCAAGCTAACCTCAAACCCGCAGTGATCCTCCTGCCTCAGCCTCCCAAGTGGTGAGGTTACAGGTATGTGCCGCCACACCTGGCTTGTTTCTTTTTGTAAGAATCTTTTTGGTTTATGTCTTCCACTGAGTAACTATTTTGAAGTTATGGTACGATAACTATTGTTACTGTTTATTTAGTTATGAGATTTTGTTTTTCCATAAGATAAAAAAAAATACTTCTGGAGTATTGATGGGTTCCCAGCGTTTTTTCTTTTTCAAAAATTCTAAGACGGTATAGTTCCACTTTTCTAACTCTGTGAATTAGTCATCAGTTCAGATCATTAGAGAGATGGCTTATCCCACTGACTTCTGGAGGATAAAGGTATAGGTGATGGTGGGTGACAGCCACTGAAATTCATTTCCTCATTGTCACCTGACACTGATACATTTTAGGATATTTTGGATATTCAGGATATTTAAAAGAACTACATTTAAAAACTTTTCTTGAGAGCTGGTCGATCAGAAGTAATTAACCGAGTGCAGTTGTCATGTACTAATGTAGTACTGATTTTAGTTTCAGAAAATGTATTTTATATGAAGTGCTGTCAAAATATATGGTGTGTATTTAAATAAAAAATCATTACAGTATAAGACGCAGTGCCAGTAACCCCTTTCCAAATCTGGCCCCCTTGTTCCTAGCATACTTCCCCATTGTACTGGCCACTTTCTGCAGCAATTCTGCAGGTCCTTGTTCATGAGTGTCTTTGCGAGACACCATCAAACATTGAGCGCCGTCCAGTGGAAAGACAGCTCAGAAACACCACACTGCATCCTCTCCCACCTATTCTGGCACTCTACGACTTCCCGCTCTCTCTAAAGTCAAAACGAAGGCAATGTCTGAATCGATTCAGAGCATCAAGGCAGCCACGAAGACAACTACAGGCAGTCACAAAAGAGGCCTTCAAGAGGTGCTTCAGAAAGTGGCAGCGGGATAAGTGTGTTGGAATTTTAGTGTGTGTGCTGCTCAAGTGAGCACAGTGTGTTAGAATAAAGGGGGAGCAAGTTAAGGGGATTGTATTACTATAATTTTTATTTATTTGTTCATTTATTTGGGTACCAGGGATTGAACTCAGGCCCTTGTGCTTGCAAAGCAGGCAGCGGAATCACTGAGCTAAATCCCTAGCCTTATAATACATTTTTAAAAAACTTCAATATCCCCTGTATTTCTGATCACACCTTGTAAGCTTATTTGGTCGTTTCTGCAGTCCACAGGGGCTCCTTGGCCTTTAAAAGTATCAAACCGCCTTTGTCCTTTGTCACAGGCCCATTTGGCCCAAGCAGTTTGCTTCAGATTAGTTGAGGGAGAAAATTAACAAAGTGACAAGGAGATCTAAGGGGATTTGGTTTTTTTAGAGGACAGGGACACCCTGACACTTGTGCTGATCACCTGGTAATAGAATCACTTTGGTCACTGAAGGAGTATTTTTTTATTGTGTTATTCTTCAGTCCTGACTTTCCATATGAGAGGTTTTCCTTCCAAAATATTCTGAAAGGGAAAAATAAAAGGTAGTGAGAAAGAGTAGAGCCCGCTGGGAAAACAACTGCTATAATGACATACAATAGCAAAATAAATTAAGCTTTCCTTCTCCCAGTACTGCTTCCCGGGGGTGATTCTGGTAACTCAAGTGCTGGGTTTTATTAAATAGTGAGCACTCTCGAGACTCAAGCTGCTCTGGGGATTTATGTGTGAGATAGGAGGAGTCTTCTCCCTTTTGTAGATGACAAATAGGCCATAATTAGCACAGTTTGTAGCTAGAGAGAAAGAAAATGAAGATGAAAGAAAAGCTTTTGAAGACCAGAACACAGGGAAAATCCCATTTGTGCAGTCAAACCCCTTAAATTGTTCTCCAAGAGACAAGGGGGAAAACAACAACACTGTTCACAGTTCACACTGTTTGTTTGAATTGGTTTGACTTTCAGAAGATAAACCTTGTGCATGGCAATATACAAATGTCTGCTGGAAACTACTTTCACACAAGGAACAAAGGAACCATCCCTGATATGTGATTAAGCAATGTTTCCTGTTCACCACAAATGCTGGCTTTCCAAGTCTTTCAAAGGGAAGGGGCACTTGGTTAATTGCTGAAAGCATCCCTTAAGAAGTCTGAGATTAGGACCTCAGGATGCTACAGGGTTTTACTTTCTTAGAAAAAAAAAGTATCCATACAAAATTTTAAAACATCTTGACTAACACAGTATTGCTGCCTGTTTTAAATATTACAGAATTAACCTATTGTTAGCACTGAAACTGTTTCCTGCAGCATGCCCTGTGAGGTTCATGCTTATTAGGTAGTCATTTTAGGTTTGTTTGTATTTGAAAAAAATAAAACATATCTAATTGTAATAAAACTTCCTCTTCAGCCCAAACAGATTCTGCAAATTGCCAAACTTCCTAAAATCAGTGAGAGGGAGGTGCCCATCCATCTTGCTCTTACTTAAATAAATTTTAACCCCTTAGGCTTAGGTTGACACCAAACACAAAACCCAATTGCCCAAGAAGGCTGTTGGACAAAGAGCTGCCACTTCCAAAAGAGTAGAGCGCAGCCCTCAGGCCACTGTGAGCCGCACTTGATGCTGAAATCCCAGGTCTGCTGGAGAAGAGACAGAGGGCGAAGAACTAGGGAGAATCCGGGTGTGGTTTCACATTGGGCAGGGAGACTGGAAGGGCTCAGCTTGTGGCCAGGTGGCCAAGGGTCTGCAACTCACCGCCACCCCCATGCTGGGATCTACTGATGACCCTGTGTTTTGAAGGAGTGATTCTTCTCCGGCTCCAGGAAGCCACCCTGAGATCAGATAAGAGGGAAAGGCTGGATTGTTTCTTTATTTATTTAATTAGAAAAAACAAACTGAGTTCCAGAAGTTCCAAAAGTTGGGTCTTCCTCAGAAGCCATCCAGAAGCCAGTGCTCTGAGCCATTTTCTGCTCACAGAATGTGTTTGTTTGTTGCTGGCTTGCAATCATTTGCACAAATCCTCCCTGTGTCCTGTTAGCTGGTAAACAGCCCCATCCTCTGTGTATGGTACTATGGTGGAACAGTAATGACAACAAGCGCAAACCATGGAATCCAGAAACATTTCCTGACCACAGAGCTGAGTTGGGGGTCTCAGGCCAGGACGTGGCCAGGCCCCACAGCTGAACACCCCTGCGGTGCAGCAGTCTTGGCGGTGTCTTGCACGGGGCCTGGGCATCCGCCTTGTCCCACCCTTCACCAGCCCTGCTCCCTCTCCCTGGCTGCTGCCTACGTGCGGATCCAGTCTCCTCCGCCTGGCTCTGGGCACAGGACATTGTCTGGCCAGTTGCTGAGGATAAATCCCCTCCAACGTGCTTCTCCAGTGTGCACAGCAGGGCTGGCCCAGGCAAGGAGAGGCCCTCTGGTATTTAGCTCTGCACTTGTCTTCGGAGCTGGGATAAAGGTACAAACCGAGACACAGAGAACTTGTCTGTCCTGCACAGCTGCTGAAAGGCAGTGGACACATGTAGAGGCCTCCACCTTTCGCCTCATGACTGCTCTGGAGGTTTGGCAGGCTTTGCACAGAGATCTCAGTGGATCGAGTGGAGATTCTGGGGCAAAACAGAACCACACAGACAAAGCCATAACAAAGCTGCAATAGAAATTCCACTTGACCCAGCTACTCCCCTTCTAGATCTTCTTGGAAGGGTCAAAGTCATCATAGTCCAGTGATCCACGCACACCCACGTTTATAGCAGCACAGTTCATAACAGATAAATCATAGAAGCTGCCTGTATGTCCACCAACAGATGAGTGGAAACAGAAACGATGGCTTCTACACAATGAAGTGCTGTGCAGCCACAAAGAAGGATCAATTTGAATCATTTGTAGGCAAATGGATACATCTTGAGACCATAATGTTAAGTAAAACAAATCTGATGCACAGGCTTAAATATTGCATGACTTCTCTTATACAAAAAGCCCAAGATATAAACAAACTGAACAAAACAAAAGATAATAGCAAAAGGGAGATACAAAGGGGAAGGGGGTGAAAAAACAAACTAAGATGCATTAAGTCTATGCACGCACTCCTCTCCTCGCAATGAATGTAATTACTATGCAATGCAAACATGGGCTCATAAAAACCAAGCCGGAGAGGCTGCAGTGGTGGAGAGGAGGAGGAAGAGGGGGAGAGGGAGGGGCGGGGGAGGGGGAGGAGACCCTCTAGGGGAGGCTGCGAGGACAGTCAGCGCAGCCCTCCAGGGCCCCCCCCTCCTTGCAGCC